AGAATCCTGATATTTTTTAGGTGTGCTTTTTAAAGCACTGTGAAGCCGCATCGATTGAAGACTTGAAGATGTGATCAAGTATCCTCGCTTTCATTTAACTTGTGCGCTCAGCACCACAAATTTCACGTGAAGGAATTTCCGCTGATTGGTTGTCCTTCACTGAAAACGATCTGGCTATCATGGGTCCCGACTTAACGATTTTCCCTTTCAAAATCACATGATTGTGCACAAGAAGCATGCATACTAAGCAGATTAATTTGCAATTTTGAGATTATGCATAGACACAGAACATCTTCTTGAAATCTTAGCTCCTTAGCTTGTCTGGTTTCCTAGTTAGTGACTTTCTTGCCAAAAATTTCTGGTGACGGGACTGGGGCGCGCGGATAGGTTGTCACTATGTTCCGGAGGCAGCACCCAACCAGGGAAACTACTGTCATATTTCAGCGTCAAAGCTTGCCTGGTTGCCGAGATCAAATGCCCAAACAGGCGCAACACACGCACACATATGCAATACACAGAAGTCAACCGCCAAGACTGCGTGTTCTCACGTGCCGACACTTAAAACTTTGGCGGGAAAACTGCCTTCTGAAAAGAATTAATGAACGGTATTGAATGAGAAAGTGATGCGCTCGGCTGTGCGTACGACTGAAAGAATCTGCATGCAACCGCAGTCAACTGCTCATCAAATCCCGTATGACAGTTGCTTAAATGAGATTGTTTACTACTCCGCTTCAGCAAAGCGTTCCAAAGTTTAACTTTAAACCGTAGAAGAATGCACACAGATTATCTGAAATTTGAGTAGTATGACCGGAGTAGTTGGCATCTCGAGTAGAATTATTTGTGGTTTCGGTACAAGGAATAAAGTCTGAAGAAGTTCACTTCTTATGGTTTCGTAATAAACTCTCAAGGAATCACCAGCTCAGTGTTTCGCCTGACAGAAGCACTTGGTTTCGAAATGTCATTATTGTGTGTCGAACATTCGGTATCAATAAACCATGAGAGATAGAGTAAAGACTTAAAGACTGTGGTGCCTGTGCAATCCACTGGATACCACATGCATACATTGCACTCATACTGGTGCCCAGCTAAACAAACCGCTTAAGACAAAATTTTCACACATTTTTTTAATTTATTTGATTTCCTGGTCTTTCATATACCGGTTGTCTTAAGCTAGTACTTGAAGACGACTCATAAAGCAGATGGTTCATAATGAATCCTGATATTTTTTGGAGGTGCTTCTCGAAGCACTGTGAAGTCAAACAGAATGAATGGATTTCTACGTAAGTTGTGACGTAATAGGCTTGCTGGCGCGATCATGCATTTTTGCGCAAAACTTGAAGCAATCAGGCCGTAAACTAAACGATGGGTTTTCGCTTTAACTGGTACGCTCATTACCGTAAATTTGACGTGAAAGAATTCCCGCTCACTGGACGTTCACTGAAAACGATGTGACTATTCGAGATGCCGAAATAGCGACTTTCTCGCCAAAATCGCGTGAAGCATGTGTGCTAAGCATATTAATTTGCAATGTTTAGATTATAAATTAACAAAGACCGTCTTCCCAAAATTTCAGCTTCCTAACTTGCCTGTCTCTCGATTCAGTGATTTTCTTGCCAAAGATTTCAGGTGCTCGTAGTGAGGTTTGGATAGCCGAGCTAGGTATTTGGAGACAAATGTGGGACTCCCCCCTCCCCCGCTCTTCAACCGGGGGCCAGTCTATTTCTGTCTAACTGGGCCTAATTACGGTAACCCCTTCAAGCTTCTTTCTCTGTCTGGACCCTCTCTCCCCTCGCCTACTGTGCGCGCACTATTTCGCGACAACCAGCCCTTTCTCCGGATCATCCCCACATTCTGTACTGTCTCAGTCGTCTGATTTGTCCATTTCTGTGCTGCTAAGTTTTTCCCCGTCGACGGCTTTCTTCGGCTCGGTTTTGTCTCGGTGGCTTTTTCTCGGTTGGTGCCGATGGACGGATCTAAGAGAGAGGGGGAGGGGCGGAGAACAGGGGGCGGGGCGGAGGGCGCGGGGCGGGGCGAAGGAGACGAAGGACCGTTCGGCATAGGTACCAGTG